TTGAACCATTCCAATTGATTAGACATGGAAAAGGAATTGAGAAACCATTCCAATTGATTAGACATGGAAAAGGAATTGAGAAACATGCAGTTCAAATAGAAGTAGGAAATTGTGATAGAAACTGGCATAAGGAAAGCTCAACTTCCATTGATGCACAGATTCAAGACTTTCTTACCCAACAAGGAAAACACAAGAAAAAACAAATTGGGAAAAGTGTAAGACTATTCAAAGACACATCCAATGTAACTGAACATTATCTAACCCAATCTAAAGGAGAAGATTACATATGCAGAGACAATGGAAAACATTACAATGGGACTTTCACTCTTTCTCAAGAAAATGGATCTCTTACATCTCATAAAAGCATCCACACAGGAGAGAAGCCATTTAAATGCATGGTGTGTGGAAAGGGTTTTAGCCAGCAGAGCAACCTTAGTTCCCATAAAAGGATCCACACAGGGGAGAAGCCATATAAATGTATGGAATGTGGAAAGACCTTTACTCAGAGTGTTCAGCTTACTTGCCATAAAACAATCCACACAGGGGAAAAACCATATAAATGCAAAGAATGTGGAAAGAGCTTCAGTCAACCCAGTAGTCTTACTGTTCATAAAAGAATCCACACAGGGGAGAAGCCATATAAATGTATGGAGTGTGGAAAAACCTTTACTTACAGTGGTCATCTTACCTCTCATAAAAAGATCCACACAGGGGAGAAACCATATAAATGCATGGAGTGTGGAAAGACCTTTAGTCGTAACATTCAACTTACTTCCCATAAAAGGATCCACACAGGGGAGAAGCCATATAAGTGTATGGAGTGTGGAAAAGGCTTCTGTGAAAACTGGTCTCTTACTGTTCATAAAAGGATCCACACAGGAGAGAAACCATATAAGTGTATGGAGTGTGGAAAGGGGTTCAGCCAACATAGTAATCTTACTTCCCATAAAAGGATCCACACAGGGGAGAAACCATATAAATGCTTGGAGTGTGGGAAGATGTTTATTTATAGCAGTCATCTTACTTCCCATAAAAGGATCCACACAGGGGAGAAGCCATATAAATGCATGGAATGTGGAAAGACCTTTACTCATAACATTCAGCTTACTTCCCACAAAAGGATCCACACAGGAGAGAAACCATATAAATGCATGGAGTGTGGAAAGGGCTTCAGCCAACATGGTAATCTTACTTCCCACAAAAGGATCCACACTGGGGAGAAACCATTTAAATGCATGGAATGTGGAAAGACATTTACTCATAGCAGTCAACTTATTCCCCATAAAAGAATCCACACTGGGGAGAAGCCATATAAATGTATGGACTGTGGAAAAACCTTTACTCATAGCATTCAACTTAGTTCCCATAAAAGGATCCATACTGGGGAGAAACCATATAAATGTATGGAGTGCGGAAAGGGCTTCAGCCAACATAGTAGTCTTACTTCCCATAAAAGAATCCACACAGGGGAGAAGCCATTTAAATGTATGGAATGTGGAAAGGGCTTTACTTATAGCAGTCACCTTACTTCTCATAGCTGGATCCACATAGGAGAGAAACCATTTAAATGCATGGAATGTGGAAAGACCTTTACTTATAGCAGTCATCTTACTTCTCATCAAAGGATCCATACAGGAGAGAAGCCATTTAAATGCATGGAGTGTGGAAAGGGTTTCAGCCAACGCAGTAATCTTACTTCCCATAAAAGGATCCACACAGAGTCGAAGCCATATAAATCTCGGGCATGTGGAAAGAGCTACAAGAGGAGCAATGACCTAAAAGAGATACGTTTAGGTGAGAATGTTTGTTAAAATTAGATTTAATTGGTTACATTTATTCATTTCCTTTTTATGCATACAAATACTAGGTAGGGAAGGTTTTTTTTGAATTTGACCTTCACAATTGGCAGTCCTAGAGGGATGAATTTACTGGTGAAAATCAGTAATTATTTTAATTATAAACTCTGAATTTTTCAAAATACTGTCATCTGGAGGTGACAAATTCTATTGCACATTAAAAAAAATTGTTAAATTTATGTTTGTTCCAGATTCCTGTTGGCAGACAATTTCAAGAAATTGGTGATTTTAGGCATGTCTGTTGCTGAGCTGTTATTTTATGAAGATGTTGTCTTTATTGTGTCTTTATAAGTGAGCTGCTTGCTCCCAACTGTTTGTTCTTCCCATTTGATCATGGTTTTTGAAGAAATACGAACAGATGTTTAATAAGCACTGCTTCCCCCAGAGCTGTATTTCTCTGATGCATTTTTTTCAAGGTTTATTGGTGTTAGTTCCGCTATAGCCAATATATAGATAAAAATTCAACTGATTCACAGTAACTTTTCATAGTTTAATTTTTTATTCTTTTCCCTAGTCTTAACAGTTGTTTTCCCTTCCTCTTTCATTCCTTAATGCATAAACAATTTCTCAGTGGTTTTTACACTTCTCTGTTCTCGCAACAATTTGGAAATGGCAAATTCATTGGATTTGAAAGAATATTATAATTGAAAGAGAATTCAAGCTCCATTGGAGTTTACAGAGTGAAATGGAATGTGATATTGAATTGCTCAATTAAATAACTGGGGTATTAAATTAAAAACCACAACTAAGAGAAATTGCACTTTGAATTTTTCATGATTTCCTCTTTCTTTCTTTTCTTTCTTTCCTTCCTTCCTTCCTTCCTTCCTTCCTTCCTTCCTTCCTTCCTTTCTTTCTTTCTTTCTTTCTTTCTTTCTTTCTTTCTTTCTTTTTGCATCTAGTTAAGGATATTCCA